CCAGCACGACGCGGCTGGTCCCGGTGCTGTCTAACGCCGTAGCCTAAGGGCCAACGGGTCTTCCAGAAGAAAAACGTCGCTGGCTCTTGGCTTCCTCCGACAATACGAAGTACTGGACCTTGGCACCACGTTGAGTTGGCCGGCACAGCCAAGGACATGTATACATCAAAAGTAATACTCCCAGAAACAACAATAACCCAACCACGATAAATGCAATATCAAGGGCTACACACACACTAACAAGAGCAGCGGCACCTACTGCAGTCAAATCCAATCATAACATCTAAAGGACGTAAACAGAGAGATATGTGCGCCATAATGTCATTCTCAGTGTGTCTATCAAATAGAATCCTTGAGAGACTTGGAGAAAATAAAGAAAAATAAAAAAAAGGGAAAAGAAGCAACACATACAATAAACAATACAGCAAAAACATCATCAGCACTGAAGTAACTACAGAAAAACATAAACACATAAACCTTCTTCCTCAGAACATTTTAATTCAATAAAAAAGAAACCCATTAAAAAAAATCCCCAATAATAAAAAGCCCATCAGCACAAAAAAAAGCCCAATAAAAAGGAGCCCAAGTTCATGTTGATTCTTCATCCGACACTGTCATCGTTCTCTCACCATATTATGTGTGTCCTATCATGCATATGATAACGAACAGTGGGATTCTGCAAAATGTATATTTGATAATTATTCATTTTCAGAAAAAGAATATAAAATCATAGCAAAAAAAAAATCACAAGCAATTAAAAGAAAAATTTCCAATGGAGCGAAGAACGCTGAAAAAAAAAGAAAAAAAAAGGTCAATGTATTGCGGTTTATGGGATTCATTTCAAAGGACCGTGCTAAGCAAAAATGTTTATTATTTCTGAATATGAATGGATCTCTCATGGAACCATCACAAAACCAACAACACACACAAGAAGCGCAAGAGGGGCCATGTAGGAAGTGAACATGATGCTGCTGTCAGGTCCCAACGCACCCATTACATTCGTATGATTTAGTGTTTCTCTCATTTTGTCCTCAGTTAACTTTGTCCCATTCAAAGCACCGTTATTTGCTGTGTGAGAAGACGGTTCATTTGCAGCATCAACAGTGTTGGGATTAGATGTGTTTGGAGAAGTAGTAGCATCAGTATTACGACGATTCCTCGATGTATGGTCTTCTTCCTGAGCATCCCTTTCATCTGTAGTGGGAGATGTAGAAGAATTCTTATATTGTGGTGTTGATTCCTGAGTCGGTGCATTTGTTTCAGTTGGTGATTGAACTTCATTTTGTCTTTGGTTTGGTCCTTGCTGGCGGTCTTGAGCTTGGGTTGGTGTTAGTGTTCCATTTTGTTGATCGTTGTTTTCTGCTGGTGGATCTGCAATCTGTTGAGATATTCCATGTGCAGGGGCCTCTGAAGAGGCAGTAGCAGGGGAAGGGGAAGGGGCAGGAGCGGCAGGAGTTGGTGGTGGTGGTGGGGTCTGGACAGGCCCAGGTACGAGGGGCTTTCCACTGCCGGTGCCACCAGGACCAACAACGCTGGTGTTGTTCGTGTTTGTGCCACTAGTTCTAATTCCACCCTCTGAACCCGCAGTGGACACAACGGAGTTCTGAACATTTTTACTATCCAGTTTTTCCAGTGGTGATTTTTGGGATTCAACCGGACCGTTAACATGTTGATGGCCTTCGTGTTTATCCGGAAGCTCGCTTTCCGGCACTTCTTTCACTATCTCAGGTTCATGGAGTTCCACGTGTGATTCGTCTTCTTTAGGAAAAACTGATGAAACTGATGGCGCGTGGGTTGGCTTCTGACCATGTTCTGGTTTTCCTTCTTTTTCCCCATCATTCACAACAATATAGTATCCGTCACTTTCTTCTTTGTCACTGTTAAGCTTGATTACAGGGGAATTGGTCTCCGGCCACCCTGTGCACACTTCTTCGTATTTGGGGCACAGAATAGTTCCACCATTGAACGCTGGGTCCTTCATTTCAAAAGTTGTCTTGTCATCGTTTTTGCACTCATGCCAGTTATTTTCATTACCTTTGAGCTGTACCCTCACCACCTTGTTAGCATTATCACACTCCACTTTTGCACAAACGCCACCAACGGTAAAGTTGGTGCCACTTGAGCCGACAACCTGCAACACCGGTTCTTTCACATGCAAACACCGTGACATCTTGTCCACAATGCTGCCAGGCATCAAACTCTGATTACCATCTTCACAGGCAGTACCCTCCAAGGGTCTGATGAATGGAACACCATCCATCAAGTCTTTCGCATCCTTCTGTCTGAATTCGTCCTTAAAATATTGATATCTCCCAGTTAGCTTATTACGGTTGGTCTTCGTTGAACAAATACCAAGGGCAAAACGGTCAGAGGTGCATTTTAGGATTGTCTTCGTATCGTCCTCGCAAAACATGTCGGGGTAGTGAGTCTGTGTTAAATCCTTTTTACCTTTAAACAAGTCACATATATATTGTTTCCCCCAACTCATCGGTTCTGCCTTCTCGAAATTTGCGCTGTAGAAGGGCATGGAATGAAATGCTGCAAGTGTCAGTGCACTGTAGTACATGCCAGTAGTGCCAAAGGTATCACTGTACGTACTCATCAACTCATCCTTCGCAATACGCCTCTCCCAGTGCGGGGGTAAACCATTATTTTGTTCGTTTTCCAGATACAAACCCTCTAGTTTATTCTTTTCACCATCTTTACATTCGTAAAACTTCTTCAGTATTTCAAGAGTTTCAGACGATTTCATATAGAATTCTTTTCCACCGTATTTACCTCCTGGGGATGAGAGACCATTTTTGTGGGGTTCTATCATTCCCTGTGTCTCCATAACTTCATAGTCAAATCCAAGACCATGCGCAATCTCATGTGCAGTCAAACGAATATACTTCCGTGTTGCTTTTATCTCATCTGGGATAAAGCTGATGACAGCAGACGTTGGTCGGTTTTCTTCATCCTGAGTGCAAATCTCAACATTTTGGGGTGCTGTTGAAAGACCCACGTAAATCATATAATCGACATCAACACTATACTGCATCTGTTGCTCCAAGGAACCCTTAATGACCTTGCACCTTTTTTTTGTAGGCGAATCAAGATCTGCAATTCTGATATTTAGACTTTTTCCTACCCGTTTCACTTTAAGGCGATCTGTGTGTAATTTGATGGCTTTGGGCAAGACCTCCGTAAAAAGAATACCCTTTTTTTGCGCTGTCATTTTTTTATGATCACCATCGCAGATATCGTCAAACACTCCAAGTTCTTCGTCTTCGTCTTCATCTTCGTTCTCTCTTTCACAGAACTCTATGATATCCTCCACAAGTTTTGTATACACGCCAATGCGGATGGGCTCCCATTCCTTACCATTCTTATCAGGAGTAGCACCAGGAACAGTATCAGTAGAGACGGTGTACGCCTGTAGACCACTTTGTCTTTTCTGTGGTAACTGCTGCACAACAGCAGCCAAACACCCGCAGCTCCAGTACAACAGGAACAATGCAGTCCACAGCAGGTGACGCATGGAGTGTTTCTCCATTTCTTAATAGCGTGAGTGGTGTGAATGTGTTAGTTTGTGTTTTGCTTTGCTAAGGTACAAACAGTAAAGAAAAAAAAGAAGAGGAAAAGCGAGAGAATAAAAGGTAAGCATGAATAGATATTACATTAGATCTAGCAGAGAATTAAACACATCTATACATCAAAAGTAATACTCTCAGAAAGAGAACAATAGTAGTCATGCCAAAAGTAGAGTGAGAAAATATATCAATATACCCTCATGTGGTACATACATACCAATAGTATCAACAACAATGCATTGTGAGCAGATTTGGTGTTTTTTGGTAACTGTAAGAAATGCAGGGAATAACAAACAGTCATAATAATGAGTGCTGTACTGCCTTTAAACAAGTGAAAAAGATAGAAAAGAACCAATGAAAAGAGTGAATGATACCATGTGTTCAGATCTGCCCTTTGCATTAGAAAAAGACTGTGTAACTCATGCTTGACTAAACCACCAACTCAACTTGATATACTATTTTTATTATTGTCATTCCAAACACATTAATGAGGTAGTTGCTTGTAATAAGTATTTGACTTTTCCACGGCTTCCACTTAATAATATTTTTTTTTCCTTTTGCTCATCCATGTCAGGAGTAGAAGAGCATAACCAAAAAAAAAAACACATCAGAAGAGCCATAATATAATAGAGGAGGGGATTATATGAAATATTCCATCAGCTACAAAAACACTCCTGTACTAATTACCATACCCACAACACATACACAGAACACTATCTATAAGAGCACTACTCACATTTCCAAGAGAAAGTAACATGTACAACACAGTGCTTTTTAACTCTGTTTATTCAGTATAGATCTCAATTCGGTATCACTGCTCAGTGATTCACTTCCTGTAGTTGTTTTTCCCCTCTGTAGAATAGCAGTAATCCCATGCACATGGCTTTGTGTACACCTCCTATTAATACTCTTTCAGTAGGAATGTTTTTCCTTTCACCACAACAAAGAAATTCATTTCCACTAGTGTTGTAGTTATCATCCAGACCTTTTGAGGGTCCAACGGCAACGTACAGCACCATATATGCGTCTTCAACACCCTCACTGATGTGAGTAGTTGGAACTGTGAAGTGAGAGCAAAGAGTTTTGCCAAAATCCGGCACCTTGAAGGGAGTTTCCAACTGCTTAACGAGAAGAATATCGCTGTGTAAATTGATTGCTGCAGGAAGAATCTTATTGAGAAGTG